CACATTCCCTAGCTATGGCTGTTGCAGTATTGATGTTATCTCCAGTAACCATTCGAACAGTGACCCCAGCTGAACGACAGAGTGCAACTGACTCCCTGACTCCAGGACGAACAGGATCCTTTATACCTACAATACCTATACAAGTATACCCAGAAACTGGAATATCAGCAGCAGGGGAGAATCCTTTATCCAGCTCCATATATGCAAGACACAAAGTGCGAAGAGCTTCATTGGCAAACTGATCAATTGTGGTCTTCAGATGGTTAGTTGATGTTTCATCCATGGGAACAACCTCCCCACTGGAATTAATTACCTTGTCACAGGCAGCTAAAACTATTTCTGAAGCGCCTTTAGTATGAGCCCTTAAACCTCCTTCAGGAAGCTCCAGCACCACACCCATGCGTTTCCTTGTAGAGTTAAATGGTTCAACTTTTATAAGTTTCCCAGCTTGTCGTTCTTTCTGAAAATCGCCACCAAGTGATAAACCAAACTGCAATATAGCAGTCTCAGTTGGTGTTCCCAATATGTCAGGTTTCCCGTGCTTGGTAGCTACAACTTCTCCTCCAGTATTGTTAAAAATTGACTGCAGCAAAGTTTTGAGTACAGAATCAGGTATTTCAGAACAAAGGGAGGATGCATCACTCGGCTTTTGCACATCCTTGACATTCATACAGAAGCATGTTTTCACTACAGTCATACGGTTGGTTGTTAACGTGCCAGTTTTGTCACTACAAATAGTTGTAGCAGAGCCCATTGTCTCACAAGCTGCTAAATGCCGGACAAGTGCCTTATCATTCATCATCTTTTTCATGGCAAACGCAAGACTTAACGTCACAGCCAGGGGAAGTCCTTCAGGAACTGCAACCACTACAATTGTAACTGCAATTGCAAAGTATTCTAATAATTCCCTAGCCTCTCCTCCAGACCAGCTCCAGTGTGATCCTTCTGTAAGTTTACGGCTATACATTTTCTGCACAAGTACTGCAAAAGTCACAACAGCAAAGAAAAGGCCTATTTTCCCAATGATTGTTGCCACTCCATTTAGTTTGACTTGTAATGGAGTTTCATCATCTCCGCCTTCACTGAGAGTTGCTAATAGTTTTCCCCACTGAGTCCTCATCCCAACTGTTGTTACCAACATCTTACAAGACCCGTCTTGAACCTTGGTTCCAGAAAGAAGAAAGGGATTCTGAGCAGTGACTGTCACTGGCTCACTTTCACCAGTCAAACTGGACTCATCGATTAAAACAGAAAATCCTGAAAGAAAGAGTCCATCTGCAGGGACTTGATCTCCTATTGCGAGATGAACAATATCACCTGGAACTAGATCATATATAGACATCTTTTGTCGGTACCCATTCCTAGTAACTTGGATGGCTATTTTCTTTTTTTCTTTATCCAGGTCTCTGAACTGCAAGGATTGGCGATAATCACTTGTTGCAGTAACAAAGACCACCAACAAAATGCTAGCTACTATACCAAGGCCATCATGAGCCCCATCTGGCCATCCCTCCATTGCAATGCCAACAAGGAGAGAAACAAATGCACAAGCACCGAGGATCATGAGGGTCATGTCCTGAAGGGCTTCCCAAACAAATAACCAAAAGCTCCGAGCTTCACTTTCTTGGAATTTATTAACTCCAAATATCTCTTGTCTGTGGATTAGAGTACTATAATCACGTGTAGATAGCCCATCGGTACTTGAAGTAGCCAGTTTATTTGCAATACCATCCACTCCACCGTGAAATTTCACCTTTTTCAGATCATGGCCTTCAACTATGGATCCTAGCTCTTCCGCGTCAATTTGAAAACCAGCTTTTTTAACTTCATCAGGGAGAGTGTAGTCACTTACTTGCACACCTGGAAGCCACAGAATTAACACCTTAAGATTTTCCCATTGGATTACCTTATTAAACTGAAGGATAAATTGAAATTCACCTGATATGAACTGAAATGCAGCCTTGGAAACCAAAACTGCTACCCTCAATTTCTCCTGTAACACATGAAACATAACATTCAACAACATGTACGAACAAGCATTTTGATCATAAATCTGTCACTTCAGTACAAAACATAATACGACAGTAACATCAACAAGATCACGTTATATACAATTTCAAGATAACAAGATACTAATGCTGCAAAATTTGCATGCATCAGGGAAGGAAAATTTCTCCTTTTGAAAAAAAAATTACTAACGGAAATGTTTTAAAAGGATTCATACTATATACTACTGTATAATGTATCAACTATCTTATAAATGTAGATATTGCATCTCATCATTTTGCCAAACTCCTATATGAATCAAATAAAATCAACCATGTCTCAAATCCTTTATATAACGCAACAAACAGACATTTTTTTTGAACAATCAAGGTGACATAAGCATTATAGCTTGCACTCATTGTAGTTGGCACATATTCTACGGCAACTCCTTTTAACAATAAAATTAATCAGTGATATATCTTTAATAGAGAAAACTGATGTTGAGTACGTACATGATTTGTACGGCGCATGGCAGCAGCCTCATATCGCTTTGAGAGATTTGCAGTGAAACGAAATCGACGTTTTGGATTCTTAACTACACCACAAAGGCTCCTCCATCGGCGGAGCATCTCCTCCTCGGAGTGCTTCGCCTTCACTCCACCAAAATTCTCATTCAAATAGCTCTCCATGTTTATATTTTAATTATTTTTTCTTCTCTGTTTTAGTTATTACAAATACAAATCAATATATATAGACAAACGGTTACTTTGATGAAAGAACAGTAACACGGTGAAGAGAGAAAAAGTTAAATTGGGGTAAGAAGTTTCCAAGACATTGTTGCGAAAGAAGAATATATTTGCAGAAACAAAAGTAGAAAAATGTGGTGTGTGTGGGAGCTTTATGGAGACAAGGAGAATAATAATAGTAAAAGAATTAAGGAGTAGTGAAGAAGATGGATCCGAGTTTTGGGTGAAAGACGCTATGAATACTTGGTTTAACATTAATGGAGCTTCTTTGATTCATTTCTTCTTTTGCATTAAAACGGTCCTGCTTTTATGGCTTATGTTACGTTATAGGTTTCATCGAATTAGTCGATTGGGTAATGCTACAAAGTCTATTAGGAGTAGTAATTAAGTGACTTAATTGAGTTTGGGTGTTTATTTTTACTCTCTTAATTAAAGTCAAGTCAGTTAAAATTGTGGTACTTCGCTTACGCGTTTCGCAGACGCAGGACCCATATATTCCTCTTTCGTAAACGATACCCTATCTTCATTTTTCAAGATGATACTCTCTTTATTTTATATTATGCTTCCTTCGTTACAATTTTGTCAATTTAATTATAACTTGATAAGAAATTTAAATATGTTTTAAAAAAATTGAAACTAGTAATTTTAAATTAAAAATATTTAGAATATATCAAAATATCGTTAGATTTTATATATGGTAGGTAAAAAATTCAAATTAAAAAGTTAGAAACAAAAGAAATAAAAGACAGTTTATTTTATGACGATCTAAAAAAGTAACAAAAGCAAGTCGAAGAAAGGAATATGTTTTAACTAATTACATATAGTTTATTTATGACTAAAACAAATCATACCTGATGAATTAAATAATTTCATCATTTTTGTGATGGTTTGTTGCTTTTATTAATGTTGGGAAAGGAAATTCATGTGAATCGTTTGGCTTTGTGTGCCGAATAGTTGTCCTGAATTTGAGATACTAATTACTGTTGTATTTTTATGATAAATACTGGATAACTAAGTGCAGAGCGGATAACTGCTAAAAGCATTCAAGTAGAAAGTCTATTCTTAGATGAGTGCGTTGTTATCACGACTTTTCTAGAGCTTTTGGTAGTACAATCGAGACAAAATCAGGTTCTCTTTCTCTACGGAATAGTGCGGTAGAAGCTTTTTAAGAATTCAAGAGAATGTCACAATGAAACTAGCCATTTATCATTATGATAAGTCTCAAGAGAAAGTGCAATGACATATGCAATTGGGGCATCTTAATAGATCGATAGACTTAGGCCTCATTTGTTTGCATTTAATGGAGGTCTGAATCTTAATCATTCAGATCCAACCTATTAAGTACGTTTGATTTTTTGGTCTGAATCTGAATAATTTAGATTCAGCCCATTAAGTTCATTTGTTTCATTTCTTAAAAAACCTCTTAATGGGTATGAAGAGATATGAACGAATCAGATCTGTAAGAGACTCTTAACAACATTCAGACTCATTTGATAAGTTATCAAATAATAAATCATAACTTCTATGTTTTGAGCATGTCTTTTTATCTCATAACTGAAAATTTTCTTTCTCATTTTTCTCAATCAAACACCATTTTTCTCAACTAATAAGTTTTTATAAATCATTTCAAATTTTTTTTTAATATTAATATTTTCTTGTATTGATGTGTGTCAAGAACGCGAGTTGCAATAATATTTTTTTGGTGTATTGATGTTTATCAAGATTTTTGAATGAAAAAATAGTACTCCAAATTATGATTATTAAAACTTTTTTTAAATAAAAAAGTAATATATTTTGTTGAAATGAAAACTTTACAATATTTTATTTGTATAATTTTTAATTTCGCGTTTACATTCAAATATTGAAAACAAACAACATTAATTATTTAATGTTCAAATTCAGAGACCACATCTTGATATTCAAATCAAAATATTCAGATCTTAATATAAATTTTAATATTCATATGTGTATTCAAATTTAGATCTCTTAATTTTAATAAAAATTAATAAGGCCTTAATCTTATTTTTGCGTTCATTCCTAGCTTTTTTTTCTCCGTCTTTCGAAAGTCAATATGGAAAAAGAAAAGAAAACCTAATCTAGTAAAATTCTAAGTTTTAGATTTGGACTTTACTTTGCCAACGTCAAGACTTTTACTTTGGGACCTGAAAAAAGTAGTAATTGCCTTTTAAAAGATGAAGTTTCAAATCAGTTGCTACCGTTTACCATATTTTTTTTTTCAATAGCAGACTGACATAAGAGAAGTACTCATAGACCAGACCCAATTATTGTCCGTCCGATTAAAATAGGCGGTCTATAATGGATCCTTGCTGGCGACCCATAAACTGTCACGTTGTGTTGATTGGGCCTTTCTCTCGTGGTGGCTGCCCCAATATTTATTTATTTGGCTCCCTTCGCTACGCCAATTTCTCTCTCTCTCTCTGTTGTTTTTACGAAACTTCCATTCCTCTGCCAGAGAAAATGAGCAAGGGACCTGGACTTTTCTCTGATATTGGCAAGAAAGCCAGAGGTAATTTTCCGATCCAGTTGCTTTCATCTCCTTCATTTCATTTTCAATTTCAGTTTTGCTGCTAACTAGCGATGATTATAAGTTAAGCAGATAGATGCATATGATTTACCTGACCACATGATATTTTGATACAGATGTTTTGACTAAGGACTATATTTCCGATCAGAAACTATCTATTTCAACCTACAGTGACACTGGAGTGGTATGGTTTTATCCACTTCTACCTCTGATTGACTTATTTCTTAGTTTAAAGTCGAGATTCTGGTTTTAGTTAGATTTTTCGGTACTGAATTTGTGAATTTTAGGGTTTATGCAATCTGCTTAGAGTGATTTCATGGTTTGAGTTGTCGTTTGGAGTTCAGGAGATGGTTTGCTTCCTGGTCGTCATAACTCATCTTCTTAATTGAATGGAATTTTCTGTTTATTAGTGATCTCTCATCCTATGATGAAGATTTCTCAACTATGAGACAACAGCTATTTGTTCTATGATGAATTTTAGGGTCTTCTTTCAAGTGTGTTTTGATTTTTATTTTTTTTCTGTATCAATGCTTAAATTACATAACAGCAAAAGTGGGATAATGCTGTTTAGCTGCCAATAAAATCAATCTGAATGGATAATTGTACTTCCTTATTTTCTTGAAGGATATTGCTGATCTTGCCGGCAGCAATATATTGTTCCTTACTTTTCAGATATGCTATTCCTTTTATTCAATTCCGCAGTGCACAGCTAAACTCCAGTCCTTTTCCTCCATTTATCTCATAAAATGATCAAGCATCACCTTAAAGTTAGCCCAGTCCTAGAATTCTTGTGATTAATTATTGGTGTTAAGATATATGTCTTTGTGGGAATATTTTTATCATTTGCACAAAATTGATAGTGGATTTAGGAACCTCAAACTTGATAATGAATTTCACTCATTTGGTATGGTAAATGCAGTAATATTCTAACAATAGTAGTTTCCTCTTAATATTTTCTAAGCTGAAAGAAAATGATTTAGAATTTTGATGTATATGCTTGGTGTTTAAGTAGTAATGTTTTGACATGAAAGACAGAAAGTTCTACCGTCTTCTTTTACATTTTTTGTCCGTCATCTGTCTGAAGTACATTTTGGCTAAAAATTGATCTAGACAGCATTCTTCTTGAATTTGAAAAGAGAAGAAAAAAATTCTTTGGAAAGTCCCTGGCACCAGCCTCCTATAACCCTCTCCCATCTCCCAACAAAAACACTCGTCCTGAAGATTGATAAGATGCTCAAATAATGAACTAATCATCCTTTAATTGACATGTTGAGGATATGTGACTCATCAAAAACCTATATATATTGTTTTTCTGAATCGTGGAAATAATTGCATTGATCAAATTAAGAATTCAATAGTTAAGCCTAGTGTTAGGTAATAATATGTATGAGTTGACTAATTGAGATGTCTTAAATAAGTATTGATAACTTTCTGTTTTACATCTATGGAAGTCTGTGAAATAGATTGAAGTTTTAAGAGTAAAATACGGTTCTCAATTATAATGAATAAACTATTTTGGATCCAGCGTATGTTTCTCATAGTTGGTGAACTCCTTTTAATATATTATCTATTGATTCTAGCTAATATCTAAGTCAAAGTATTTTGTTCAAACTTTCTACCCTTACTCCCGCCAACTAGAAGTACCAGACTTTCTAAGATTGAAATATTTGTGGCTGTTGCTCGGGTGCTTCTAAAGTGTTGCTGCACCCGCATCGTATCCTCAAAATTGCACTACTTCTGAGGATCCAACATGCCCCCGTCGGTAGTTTTGGAGAGTCCGAGCAACATAGATTTGAGGTGGTCCTCCTTATTTACAGTTTCCTATGAAGCTTGTTTGAGAGCTTCAGTGACTGATATCTAGAGCCCTTGCTGAACTTTATATTTTGTATCATAATATGTTGAAAGGGAAACTAAACTTAAAACGTTGGTGTTTCCATTCTTATATCTAGATAAGAATTTAAATGTGATAGACTTATGTTTTTGGTACAGAACAAGATTGCACATGGTACTGAGAAGCTCTTGCAGTTTATGGCCTCATTGGATTCATTATAGTTTTGGACTTCCTTAGTATATTGGCAAAGATTCTTCTACAATCTTCTAACTATGTTTGCTCTGTACTTTTCAGAAATAAGATAATCTCTTTTATTTGCTGCTTAAAAAGGCCATATGGCTGGCTTGAATCTTTTCCCAAAAGTATATGGTCTTATTTGCTCCAATAGATAGTTTCAGATTTTATGTGCTAGTTTTCTTCTCTATTTGGATTACTGACAATAATAGATATCAATTTGGATTCTAAGTTCTTGCTCTTTAATCTTGATTTCTCGATATAGGCCCTTACATCAACTGCAGTGAAGAAGGGAGGGCTTTCAACTGGAGATGTTGGAGCACAATACAAATATAAGAATACTTTAATTGATGTCAAAGTTGATACAGCGTCAAACGTGAGTTGCTCATGCCTTGTCTTCTTTGCAAAACCATGCCTCTGTTTTTATTTGTTTTATAATGTTTCATGTTTCTCCCTTTTGCTTGCAGATTTCAACCACTCTTACTCTAAATGACATTGCCCCTTCAACGAAAACCATTGCCTCACTGAAATTCCCTGACTACAGTTCTGGGAAGGTGAAATTTTTTCCTATATTATGGCAAATGAGTATTGATTGATTGCTGGAAATCATAGAATATTCCCTTCTGAAACATAAATTTGGTTGTTCTTGCAGCTAGAGGTTCAGTACTATCACCATCATGCTGCATTTAGTACAGCTGTTGGTCTGAAACAAAACCCTATAGTTGATCTCTCTGTCACGCTTGGTACTCCCACTTTCGCCATCGGTGCAGAGGCAAGTTACGAGACAGCCGAAGGTAAACTTGCAAAATATACCGCTGGCATTAGTGTGACAAAACCAGATTCTTGTGCTGCTATAATACTGTAAGTTTTCACTGAGCTTTTGTATCTATGAAGTGAAACTAAAACATAAATGATAAGAAGGTTAAAAGTTTGACATACCTGTTGCCTAATTGATTCTTTTTACACCAGGGGTGACAAAGGGGACACAATAAAAGCATCATATATACATCATCTAGATGAATTGAAGAAGAGTGCAGCTGTGGGCGAGATCACTCGACGGTTCTCCACAAATGAGAACACCTTCACAGTTGGAGGGTCATATGCTGTTGATAACCTGACAATTGTGAAGCTCAAGCTCAATAATCACGGTAACCTGGGGGCTCTACTGCAGCATGAGCTGATTCCGAAGTCATTGTTGACTATTTCTAGTGAGTTTGACACCAAGGCCTTGGAAAAGACTCCCAAATTTGGTGTGGCCCTTGCTCTGAAGCCGTGAACTGCATTTTTGGATGTGAACAACTAACATTTTTTGGGGTTAGTGCCTGGAGGAGAGGTGTTCAATAAGTAGTTCGATAAACTTGTGGTTTTTTCCCCCCTCAATTTATATGGTTTCTGAATGAGTTGCTCTGATTCTAGGGCCTCTTTATGGTATTTCTCTAGTTTTCCCCGTCTTCTACATTTCCCCTCGGAGAAAGACCAAGTGTTTGATGTGTTCCCTCTGGAAGAGCTTTTTCTTTTGATATGGTGCAATAGGTAACTTCACCAGTTGCGTTAATTTCATTTTAATTATTTCTATGTTTATCTCTTTAATTGCTACATACTGTTTTTTGGTAATTGTTTGCTGTGACTGGATAATTTTTCATCCTTTATGAAGTGAATAAGTTCTAGCCCAAATAGACCCAAAATAAGTTGGAGCCTGCATAGCCTTCTCTGGTAAGTACTTTCGACAAGTTTCATCTGGTAGTTCTTTCGACTATACTACGTTACCTGCGTCTTTTTAGACCAATTCTCCACGCCTCAACATTATACTGAGCTTGCTTCTTCATGATTTTTTTTTTAGAAAAATTACTGTGTTTTTGGTTAGTCATTCGAGATGAGTTTTTACCATTGGCTTTCTTGAAAAACTTTTGCACTTGCAAAACTCCTCTTCCAAGGTTAATAAATGTTCAAAAATATATTCGGAGTATCAGTACCATTTTGACAATCAACGTCAAAGCCGTCTTTTTTTCATGTTTCAACCAAGTTTATGAGCAAACGCCTACTAGATTCCTTCTATGCTAATTAAAAATATATATGCTTATTAGATGCTCTTGATCTATACAGAGTAAATTTCCCCAAAAGCAATAGCTTTCAGGCCTTTCGACATCTCCAGCAAATAAAAACTGTAGTTCCACAGCTCAGAACAAACTAGTGTTTGCTGACAACTACCAATATCGTTGAGGCGCATTTGAAGTAGATGAAACGCTCAAGTTTGTTTTCATTTCATTTACCCAGTAACATCGCATACTGCTACTGGAGGGATCATAATTTGCGGAGGGTGATATATAGGGATTCACCTATATGCAGGGAGGGGAGTGTGTTGATTCTTCACTGAGATTCATAGGAACCAAGAGCATTCAAAATGATATGAATCTAAAGGACAAGAAAATTGAAATATAAATGAAGAAATAGAACGAGATACAACAAAACAAAAAGACTATTACCAGTTGCACACAGGAAAACAAGCTTGAAGTCGCAAGTTTTTATCTCACCTATAAATTAGACTTGTGGAATTGTAATTTAAGTTGAACACTTCAAACTAACCAAAGAGAAGATATGCTGATTCTTATTTCAATTTGACTTGTGGAAGTGTGTGCTAGAAGTGACCAAATCAAGATGCTGATCATGCAATTTCAGGCAACCAGAAAGGAAAGGAGTACTATCCTTGCAAGTTCCAATTACAGAAAGCAATATATAAAGAGAAGATTTAAAAGACTGGTCTCTCTCGAGCTCTAAAATAATTACTTAATAGTTAACCAATAGGAGGAAGCAAGTGGCATTAACCTGCACCTATATGTTTAAAATTTTGTATTCACCTTTTATCAATCAATCACTACTACTATGAGTTGTATAAGGCAATGCATCAATCTAAGTAGAGGATAGGAAAATATTAAAGATGACTGAGGTCTCTAATCCGGTAGATACTGGTTAAAAGCAGCAAATGTAGCAAGATCAAACATTCATCAATTAAACTCTTCCTAAAACAGAGGGTTGGGTTCCAAACTTAGCAATCCCTAGTATACAAAATAACCAAAAAATCACAAGAACTTGAATCAATCACATTCCCTGAAAAGTCAGTAATGCATGCAGGAAGGGTATAGCTATATTAATATAGTTAACAACTTCTAACACACTTCAAACGAGTTCAATACTCAAATTTACGGGTACTCTGAACTCCTACATCCAAAATTTTTTTTGCACAAATAACAGGGAAATAGACTTTAACGAGAATCACAACTGATTATACCCAAAATTGCATACTATTAAAATACTGAAACAAAATTCAGAGTCTCAGAAAAATACTCTTTAGCTATTCCAACAAGCTTCAAAGTAGCAAAAGCAATAAGATATAACAAAACAGAAACAAAATAGATAGAAGAAGAACTAATCAATTGCCTGCATGATTTCCTCGGTGGTGAACTTAGTACCCTTATCCTTATCGGCAGCAGCACGACCCTTAGCCTTACGGTCAAGAAGAGACCTACGGTCCTTGTCGAGCCTGAGCTTGGAGATAACAACCTTGGATGGGTGAATACCAACGTTAACAGTGGATCCATTAACCTTCTCTCTGGTAATGCGCTCAATGTGGATCACCCACTTCTTACGGTAGACTTGGACAACTTTTCCTTCACGACCCTTGTAGGTTCCACGAACCACCTGAACCTCGTCGTCTTTCCTTACTGGCATGGACCTAACGCTGTACTTGGCTCGCAACTCTGAGGACAAAGGGGCGCTCATCAACACCCGGCGAAGGCTGGAAGGCGCCGTGAAATGTGCCTTCCTGCTCTTGCGGCGGGAGGAGGATACTCTTGGATTGTACTTCATCTTCGACGATTTCTCTCCCAACGCTCCCTCTCTGCAAATGTGGCCGGTAGAGATGACTGAGAGTAGGGTTTTTGAGATCTTATATGACAGATGGACGTATAGGAAATTCTAGGGTATCAGCCGGTAATTTGGGCCTACATTAACTCTTCGGCCCAACTGTAATATATGGGACTTGAAGCGGTGTGGTCTACTCTGGGCTCATGTCCAAATGTTTAATTTTGGGCCTTGCAAAGTCAAAACTTTAGTTAAAAAGGAAACTTACTTAAATATACTATAAAAAAAAATATATATTTATCATTTATAGTAATAATATTTTTTTTCACTTAATCATTTTTAATTCATTTATAATATAATTTTAATATATATTACAAAGATAAATTTATTATTCAAATATAATATAAATTTTAATGATAAATACAATGTGATAATTTTTTACCAAACAAACATAATATATTTCAAAAACAATTATAATTCAAATATATTGCATACATAATTCAATTTTAATACATATTACAGATTTATCACAATATTGTTATAAATGATAATAAACAAAAAGTATCATTAAAAACAATAATTAATTTTAAAAATGTAAATTCATGTAATTTTTCCTAGTTAAAATAGTCCCATGCTTGGCCTTATAGCACTTCAAACAAAATCGTCTCAAATCAAACACGACTTTTTGAGGACAAATTACATGAATATCTTATTTTTTTAATGTATTTGATTATCCAAGCTATATATTATGTAGCCATATATTATGTAGCTAAGCTATATATAATGTATTCGAGTTAGTTTTTAATATATCTGAGTTACATATTAATCTATCTGAGCTACTTATAATGTATACAAGCTAGTAGTTAATTTATTCGAAACAATATTTAACGTATCTGAGCTACATATTAATGTATCTGAGATTTAATTATTGTATCCGATTTTTTAATTTTCAAGGGATTAATGTAATTGAAAATGTATCAGGGATAGATTGTAATTTCATATTAAAACTATGAAATTTATGTAAATTACACAATTTTAAATGGACAAATTTTATATATAACAAATATAAAATTCTTAATTTTAGGTTATAGCAAACTTTTCAAAATTGCGTTCCGTAGCAAAATTTGAGTTTGCTACGGGTGTCTTTTTCTGTATAATCTTAGACGCCATTTATACATTTTAAATGTTTTTTTAAAAAAAGGTGATATAATCTGCTAGATAAATAAAGAAAAAGATCTCAGAATTCATGCAAACTCTGTTTCAGTTTGATCCTTCTTTGTCTCCTTCAACCGAAATAGTTCCATTGTAGTCAGTTCAAAAATCAATCAAGTTATTGAAGGTATTAATTAAACAAGCAAGATAAATTTGATTTCAGAGACAGAAATAGGAGGTAATTTCATGATGAAAACATATTCTGATTTTATTTTTATTTTTATCGACAATTGTGTTCAAATCAGATTTTCTTTTTCACTTTCATCAATTCAGTTGAATGTATATTGAGATGTGCATATTTTGTCCCTAATAGATTTGAATAGTCAATTTTGAAATCTAGAAAAAATTATGATAAATTTGTTTATTATTTTGAATTTCTGATCTGAGATTCGCTGACTTCACAATATTTTTGTGTTTGGAACTGTATATGTGATATGTGATTGGTTGATTTCATGTATGAAACTATTATGTTTTGGTTTTATATAATACATTTTCGTCTAGTTTTTTTCAAATATTCATAGTATATATAAGTATATGAAACTGATGTATGTTTATACGAATTATATACATATATTATTTAGTTGTTTTGGGGTGAATTATATAAGTGTATGAAAATGTTGTATGTTTATTTGAATCTGTTAATTATATACATATACCCACTTAGTGTTTTTTTAGTGAATTGTACAAGTATATGAAACTGTTGAATGTTTATACGAATAATATACATATACCTATTTAGTGTTTTTAGGTGAATTGCATAAGTGTATGAAATTGTTGAATGTTTATTCGAATTTGTTAGTTATATACACATACCTATTTAGTATTTTCTGGTGAATTGTTTAATTTTATGGAACTATTGTATGTTCATACGAATTTGTCAATTATATACATATACATATTTAATGTTTTTGGTGAATTGTATAAAGCTTTAATTTTGTGTATATAAAGACTTTTGATATAATTTGAAAATGTGTATAAGTTAAAGCTGGAGTTACTAGAATTTGTATAAATATATATTGTGTTTTTTCTTGAAATTCTTAAGCTTAGAATTGTATATGTATATAATTAAATTTTTTATGCAAAACTTCTGAAAATGGTTTCATTGGCTATTTTGGTTATGCATTCTAGTAGATGAGACAACGACAACTGTTACGTCGATTATATAATTAAGGTTTTTAGCGGTATCTGAAATTTTTGAAATACTTTTCAAAACCGCAAAGACGTGCTAGAGAAGTTTGAAATTTGAAATTGAATTTGTGAAGAGTATTAAGGAGAAACTGAAAGAAATGAGAAGAGATTGTATACTATAAAGGAAGAGAGAAAATATACAATTTTATTTTTGGGGAATTATTTATACAATTCAGTGGCCCTAAAATAGCAAATTGATCGATATTTTGCTTATTAAAGGAAAAAATTGAAAGGGGATTACTACATTTAGTTTCCTTTATTATTTTGTCATTTTCTACAATCATCCCATTTTAAAACTTCGACTAAATAGTGCCACAAACGAGGAAACTTTTCTTTTTAAAAAAAGGTGACATCGACTATATATTGAATGGCAACCAAGAACAACTAATGTTTGGGCACTAATTGAGATAATTACTTAACTAGACTAACTTTGAGGGTTCCAAAATACTAGTATTAAATATAGTGAGAGTTTTTGAAATTCATCTTCTACCAGTGATACAATAGTTTTTAAAATTTGTGATGTATCAATGATACATTGATTTGTTATGTATCAGTGATGACAATTCAATTTGTATATGTTATTATATCACCAAAACAAAGAGAATTTTAGAAATTATTGCTACTTTTTATAATTAGCTATCAAACTATCACTATTTCTTTTTTAAAAAATCCATACTAATTTGTCTAGTATTTTTTTCTCAATAATTTGTGTGGAAATAAATGTAAAAGAACTCTCTTTGGGTGGGCAGATTCAGTACTATAAACTTTATGATATATTTTGCTCGAATTATTTCAATATTACTAAAATAATTCAGACAAGATAACCTTTTTTTAAAGATGGAAATTTAATAGCCTATTTTACTAAAAAATGTAACTCTGTGTCGTTTTTTTAATAATATTAATTACATTAATTTTTTATGACCATATCAACATATTTACATAACCATTCAATCTCATGCCTTTGATCAATTATAATTTGTGACGGCAAAAACAATTGGTTACTATTCTTTTCTCTCTGACGTCGCGTTCAAGTTTTTGAACTTCTTTTAACTTCAGTCACGTCCCTTAAAATGTTTAAACTTTTTTTTATTAGTATAATTTTTAACAATCCTTCTTTTGTGCAGCCAAAAATAATTTACATGAAATCTTAAATTGAAATATGGTAAATGAGCGGGTTGAGCTAAAATTAGGTGGATGGAGAAGAAGTGAGTTAATAAACTATCAAATTGTTGATTCGTTCAAAAGTTACTTGAGTTGAAATGGGCTAAAATATGAATCAAAATCTACCTTCCTCAAAACTTACTTAAGTTATAATTGTTTTATTTATTTTTTTTATAATCTTTTACTATATAATAAAATAATTATTTTTCTTTATATACATCAAATTAAAAAATGGTCATTTTAAAAATATTTTGACCATAATCAATTTGATCATATCAACCCAAAATTGATGGGCTAAGCTAATAAATAATCGAGTGAATAATCAATCCAAACTTGAATGAATTGAACTAGTTATGATTTCATGAGCTAATTTAGTGACCTCTAATTATATATTTGACTGTGGTCTAAATATTGATCATTAATATTTCTTATTGTTATATCTAATTAAATCCCTACTTAATACAATTTTAAAAGTTTCTTTGACCATCAAAACAAGGAGAATATATACCAACAAAAAGTTAGTCATTGCTCTATTTATATTTTCTTTAATTTGGTGAATGCATCACTCATAACGCTATCACAGGTTGTCAACAAAACGTAACAACCATGAATAATAATTTATTTAATGCAAATACAAACATAAACAATTATGATAATAATTCCATAAAACATTGCAATAATTACTCAATTACCCCCCTCCCCTTTGAATGAGTCTCTTATTTTAGTTCAATTTGGCACAACTACATGCACCGATCCTGAAAGCGATAGCTTCCACCCCTGCTTCAATAGCATTTGCCATTCTCATTTCATAGACAAGCTTACAACTTTTTTTTTTCTGTACTTGCTAATTCAGATTCAGGTCGTATATATATGTCATACTCTTCGTTGGCGTTGCCATTTGGTAAACAGGTTTAGTACATCTCTTTTAAACAAAATTAATCATCGTCATATTCTATTTTTAGTAAAATAGCCGTCGTCTTTTCCGTTCAGTGTAGCTTTCCAGCAGTTTGGACTACTCAGGTTCTGTACAGTTTGATGGTCTTATAAGGTAAGTGGAGATTTATAAAAGAAAGCAAATCAGATTGCAAAAACCACCATTTAATAGTGCTCACAAAAGGAAGCAAGTAATTTTGAATTTCCAAACTCAAAAGGAAAAAAAAAGAATCATTTATTACCTTACCTGCAAATAATTAATGCCCCTCAACTACATTATTACCAGCGGAGGAATAATTCTCTATTTCCTTGGTTTCTCCACTAGTAACTCAGCCTCCTAAAATCATAAACGTAACGTTTTCAGCGGAAGCAGTAGCAATACTGGGCTGTAAGGTGAAAATTGAAGGGGTTGGCCATGGAAACCATCAGAAATTGGGCAGATTTAGGGATTGTGGATACGATTTATGAAGACGATGCCGAAGATTCCTCTACTACTTCTCTTTCGATCTCTCCAAGAATCTCCCCATCTCCTTCACCTCCTCGCTCTAAGATCGTCTCCTGGTAAGAATTTAATTACTTAT